ATCTTCTGGGTCAGGCTCAGAGTCAGATTCAGACTCGGACTCGGATTCTTCAGACTCATCTGACTCGGAATCCGATGCTATGGAACTTGTCCCTTCGCCCTCGCGTAAGACTGTTTTGATTTTCACCAAATCGTCCGAGTCTGCCTCTCGACTTGCACGCCTCATTTCGCTTCTGCGTCCCGCATTGGCCAAGCGCGTGGGAACTATCATTAAATCCAATAAATCCTCTGCGTCTCGCAAGACATTGACGGCGTATCGACAAGGCCGCATTTCAGTGATTGTGGCTACTGATCGTGCCTCTCGTGGTCTTGATCTGGAATCTTTGACTCATGTCATCAACTACGATATCCCGACCAGCGTCACTACTTACGTCCACCGAGTTGGACGTACCGCCCGCGCTGGCCGCCTAGGTTCTGCGTGGTCCCTGGTTGCTCACCGCGAGGGCCGCTGGTTTGCCAACGAGATCGCAGCCAGTGTAGACGGCCGTATCACGCGTACGTCAAACATTGATCGTGTCCAGATCAAGGCCGAGGCACTAGACTCACTCAAGCCCAAGTTCGCCAAGGCTTTGGACAAGCTTGAAGAAGAGGTCAAGCGTGGCTAGTCTAGCATAATGTGTGTTTGCGATTTATTGTATTTTATGAGTGGTTACGTGTCGGTCTGCATTAATAGCGGTCATATATTCTTGTATCATAATCTGTTGAAAAGTCCTCACAAGTCTTGAAGTCTCATGGTTTACAAACTTCGCTCGTGTTATGACGTATGACAAGATGGTTATGAGCCTACATATGTAGCCAATAACCGGTAGCTTATTGAAACTATTGAATTTATCTGCTATTCAACCAGACTCTACTAGTTTCTATCCGAAGAACCCGAACTTCTCTAATTGAGGCAGTTCATTTCAAAGGCCGGCAGATACATTTGCCCATTACCCGGTCCTGCGGGGTTTCCCCTATGAGAACTGGAATATGTCAGGGATGCATTCATCGTTTAATATGAGGGGTCATTTCAGGCTAAACTCGCATAAATGCCATGATTCTTCCAGCGGATGGCTTATGGCTTGAATTGCTTGTTCTGAAGGTTAATTGTGACTTCAGCTCTCAAACCTCTTTAGGTAGCACGTAGCACTCTCTGTGAACCAAGAGAGCATTAATCCAGTTGAAGTGCTCAGAGCTATTGTAATATCTGAAGCTAAAAGACAGAAAGCCGGCTGATCTCTATCCTGGTATAAAAGCAAGTACCCATGCACCTCTTCCCCAGGCACCCCCTTGCACCCTTTTACAACAGAGGACATGATTGACAAGCATCGGCAAATAAGAAAGAATTTCAGGCTAAATTATTCACTTCATACCTCCAATCTCGGGGGAAACCCGAACCCCAGTGGGATCCCCTGAGATCGACTGTGAAACTTCCCAAACTGGGTCCAAATGTGTGGGGGACCTCTTCATACTCCGGACTATAAGTTGATTCCCGCATCATGGGCAAGAATGTTGGAGTATCTGTTCTCAGAGACAGCTTTTGCAATGCCCCTCATTCCACTACTTGCCTTGCTGGCGGCCTTCGCGCCAACCGCGATGTCACAGGCCAACACCAGTTATGTGGACTACAACACCCAGTCACAACCGGATCTTTACCCCGGAACGATGGCAAAAGTCGATTTTTCCTTTCCAGACTGCTCGAATGGCCCACTCAGCAAGACGCTTGTGTGTGACATCACCGCAAAGCCCCACGACAGAGCCGCTGCCCTCATTGCCATGTTCACCTTTGAAGAGCTCGTGAACAGTACTGGAAATGTCATGCCCGCCATTCCTCGACTGGGCCTACCGCCTTACCAGGTTTGGAGCGAAGCTCTTCATGGCTTGGATCGAGCAAATCTCACCGAATCCGGGAACTACAGCTGGGCTACCTCGTTCCCATCCCCAATCCTCACCATGGCTGCCCTGAACCGCACCTTGATCAACCAAATCGGTGGAATCGTATCAACTCAAGGCAGAGCGTTCAACAACGGGGGCCGGTATGGGCTCGATGTGTACGCACCCAATATCAATTCCTTCCGCCACCCAGTCTGGGGCCGTGGACAGGAAACTCCAGGCGAGGATATCCAGCTCTGCTCAGTTTACGGACTTGAGTACATAACGGGTCTTCAGGGTGGCTTGGACCCTAAGAATCTGAAATTGGCTGCGACAGCGAAGCATTTCGCCGGCTATGACCTCGAGAATTGGGGCAACCATTCAAGACTGGGAAATGATATGACCATCAGCTCATTCGACCTTGCTAGCTATTATACACCTCAGTTCATCACAGCAGTGAGAGATGCAAGAGTTTATAGCGTGATGTCATCGTATAACGCAGTCAATGGCGTTCCCTCATCGGCCAATTCTTTCTTGCTTCAGACTCTACTCCGTGACACCTGGAACTTTGTCGAGGATGGCTATGTTTCTTCTGACTGCGACGCTGCCTACAATGTCTTCAACCCCCACGGATACGCCTCCAGTGCCTCGCTTGCTGCAGCAAAAAGCATACAGGCAGGCACAGATATTGACTGTGGCGCCACATATCAACTCTATCTGAATCAGTCCTTCTCCCAGGGCGAGATCTCCCGCAGTGAAATTGAACGTGCTGCCACTCGTTTCTATTCTACTTTAGTCAGTTTGGGTTACTTTGATGGTGACAGCAGCAAATACCGAGATCTTGATTGGTCTGACGTTGTTGCTACTGATGCATGGAACATTTCGTACGAGGCTGCCGTGGAAGGAATTGTCCTGCTCAAGAACGATGGCACCTTACCATTGTCCAAAAACACCCGCAGTGTTGCATTGATTGGACCATGGGCAAATGTGACAACCACAATGCAGGGAAATTACTATGGCGCAGCGCCCTATCTCACCGGCCCACTCGCCGCCCTACAAGCCTCGAACCTTGACGTCAACTATGCTTTCGGCACAAATATCTCCTCAGAATCCACTTCCGGATTTGAGGCTGCTCTGTCTGCTGCGAGGAAATCTGATGTAGTCATCTTCGCCGGTGGAATTGACAACACCATCGAGGCAGAGGGAGTGGATCGTGAAAACATCACCTGGCCTGGTAACCAGCTCCAGCTGATCGAGCAGTTGAGTGAGCTGGGCAAGCCATTAGTTGTTCTACAGATGGGCGGTGGCCAAGTGGACTCTTCATCACTCAAGGCCAACAAAAACGTCAACTCTCTGGTTTGGGGTGGCTACCCGGGACAATCCGGGGGTCCTGCAATCTTGGACATTCTCACTGGAAAGCGTGCACCCGCTGGTCGCCTGCCAGTCACTCAATACCCTGCCGAGTATGCTCTCCAATTCCCTGCTACCGACATGAGTTTGCGCCCCAAGGGTAGCAACCCTGGGCAAACCTATATGTGGTATACAGGCAAGCCAGTTTACGAATTTGGCCACGGGCTGTTCTATACAACATTCAAGACATCACTCGCCAACTCCCACGGAGCTAACAATGGGGCTTCCTTCGACATTGGCAAGCTCCTCTCACACCCAAACGCCGGATACAACGTGGTCGAACAAGTCCCGTTCATGAACTACACCATTGAAGTTAAGAACACTGGTACTGTCACGTCCGACTACACTGCTATGGCATTTGTCAACACGAAGGCTGGGCCGAGCCCGCATCCCATCAAGTGGCTAGTTGGCTTTGATCGCCTCGGTGGAATTGAGCCCCACGCCACTCAGACCATGACAATTCCGATCTCACTGGACAACGTGGCTCGCACTGATGAGAATGGTAATCGCATTGTGTATCCCGGCAAGTACGAACTTGCGCTGAACAATGAGCGTTCGGCTGTGCTGTCATTCACTTTAACCGGTGATGCGACCACTATTGCTACTTGGCCAAAGGAGGAGCAACTTGTTCTTCCTTCCTGAAAGATGTATTTTGTCAGTGTACATTGTAGTTGAATATGATACGCGGATAACTACAAGTTAACGTCTCGGTGAATAGTAGCGTGACAAGGAGAAAGAGCTCAGTCAAGAAACGATCATGTATATAGCCCAGGTAACAAGAGAAACAAAAAAGAAGGTCAGGATAGCTGCATTAGCCCTATCGCCATTATCGATATGCATGGTTGGCAGTTCGCTGCTAGTCTCGCCTTCGCAAGTTCCCGCAGCGCTATTCCTTTCTCTGGTCCGCCAGTGGATGATCTGACGGTCTCACGATCGACGATCTTCTTGAAACAAACCAAATAGGACAAATAGAACAAGCACACCAATCAAATCAAAACAATATCTTGGATGCTGGCCTTGGCGCCTACAGCTACGACATTGGCGTCACGTCTTTATAATCGTCAAGGTTGTTGGAGGATATTGAAGCAAGCTTCCTTTTGCCAGTTGGACTTGCTGTTTCGTCCACGAATGAAATTATGGATGGGACTTTTATCGCGCAATCTGAGCTGTCAATGACATCTAATGCACACTTGAATGTAACAAAGAGCTGCACGTTCGATTCGCATCTTTTCTGAGTCTGATATATTGCCTTTATTATTCCAGTCTTTTCTCGGCATCGAATTAGAATAGGCCAACATCTGGCTCCCAGAAGAACTTGAAGCACAACGGGCTTCATCTTCCACGTTGTGCTTCAAGCTCCATAGGTTTGCGCTCGACATACACCCTTCAGCCCTGAATTTTAATCACAGGTGTGTAACTTGGGTTTGAATGATCGAGGCCAGAAGGGAAGATCAACGTAACACAGTTTCATATCTCCAAAATGAGGACAAAGTACAGGAATCGATTTCTTTCAAACACAGATGGTGATGCCATTTTCTCATCGAGGAAGGCAAGAAAGTAAAAGAATGTGAATGTTCAATGCTCAAAGAGCCCTGGAGGCTCCCACGGGTGAGTAATGAGACGATGACTCAAATCAGGCTGCTGTGGCAAATAAGAAGCAAGCTGGGACAACGAGCGACACAACGAGCGAAACAACGGATTCCGCGGCTGTTGACACTGGTCTTCTGATAGAAAACAGCTTTATGGTGATGGCTCGCGCTTGATCTCCTTTCCTCTCAATTCCTCCTCAGTAGGCTTCCTCGCCCACACACGACGACTGGACTTGATCAGTAGCAATTCAAGGAATGCAAAAGGAGAACTCACGCATATCCATAGCGATGTACATGCGGATCCTTCAACTCCGCACGCACTCTAGCTAGATAGACCTGCACCTCTTCCTTTGTCCACGGCTCCGGTTCCCCAAACTTGGTAAGAAGCCACATTGCCCAACCCTCTAGAGCAGTACTCCAGTGGGCATATTGGAGCTGGCCAGCCTCCTTTAGTTGTTTATCCCTAGCCCAAGGGCCTAGAGGGATTTTGTAGAGCTCCTCATGCGCATCCACGAACCCGACTTTCTCCATTTGGCCGCGCATCGTTTCCTGGGTTCTGAGTGACCGTCCAGCTCGCTCGGAGCATCTAAGAAAGAGATCACCCCACCCCGCTAGAACGCTATCTTTTTTCAAGGTGCCATCATCGCTATGAACTCGAATGTCCATCTCCACTTGCTCGATCCAACCACCTGGTTCGAGGGCACTATAGTTAAAGAAGCGGACATTAGGATTCCACGTATAAGCAGGTGGGGTAGTGAAGTGGCAATTAGAACTCACTGGTAGGCCTGCTTATATACCTGGCTCCATCCTTCCGCATCGAATGCTCCATACATCATGCGCATGTGGATATAGTCAAACGGGTCTCTCCATGTCCATTCGCGAAGGACGTCGTCCACCTCGAATAAACAGTTCGGGGGCATCCAGGTCACAGGAGGGGGGAATATATCCACGCCACGGACGGTCGCTATTTCGTGTCAATCTAAAAATAGAGTAAGGAGTTGTATAAAGAATTCGATTACCTGACGGAAAGTGATCGGCAACGTCACTACGCATTTGTTAGAGGTTTTCTTAAAATGAGGCCGGGGTTCTTGTTGACTTACATAGCCCAGCTTCCTTTGCCAGTTCCGATGTCCAGAATATGCTGTACGACGTGATTAACAGAGGGCCAAGCACGGCACATGGCATCATTATCAATTTACCTTGGGCGAATCGCCAATAGGAGCGCGGAAGAGAGGATTGGGTTGGTGGTAGTCTAGCACGATAAACAATATGTGACTTTGACATATTAGTATCACAACGCTCGTTCTAGCGAGGGCCTGGGGGGTGATGCAATTTACCTAATCTCAAACGCCTCGAATTGTTGTTCATCAGAAGGACCCCTGCACATGTCAAATCATGCATCTTCAATATCAAATCGTCGCTACCCACCAATAGTCATCTTCTTTTATCGCTTGATATCTTTACTGCAAATCAGTATTATTGAAGCGATTCTTGATTGGAAGTGTACTGACCTTCGGCCATTCTCCAACCGTCCTTTTGCGATCGTCGACGCGAGAGAGGTAGTCTCCCTAAGGATAAAACAATGAGATGAGAATGCAATATGATTTTGGTGCTTTGCTTACGACTGAAAGTCATCCGGTTCCACGCCATGAACCATAGAGTGGAAAGTGGGATCCTGGGCAAGAGGTGAGAATCACTCTGTCTGACTATAAGAGCACTACTCACCACTGCAATATGCTCCTCCTTTTCCATGATGGCAGTTTTTGTTTCAATGGCTCTAGTGCCACGTGGAAAAGGGATCCCATCCCTGGGAAATTAGGGGGATGGGATGATGTGTGGGGTATCGTAACTGCAATGGGTATAGCGTGAAGAATCAGTCAGCTGCCATCTGCAAGCCTACTGCACCTGGAAACAATTTCCGGGCTTCTTCTGTGCCAAGAATTCCTAGAGCGTTCACCGGAACACAGGAAATTTGGAATTAGAAAGATCAACTGGTGTTATTTTGCTTATACTGCACATGTGGTACATGCAACTATCAACCGTAATGACTTTACCAAAACTACAGACCCTTATCGTGGACATGACAACCGAGGTCGGGACCTCGGGAAGGTCCGATACCCGGGCGGGGTGTCACTCGACGAAACAGGCGAAAGTTTCATTGGGATGTAATATCAGAAAGCCAAAGAAGAAGATCTGGTGGAATCGATGTACAAAGTAGAATAGCGGGGATAAAGAAGGTAATAGGACTCGGGATCTCGGGAAGTGGAATAAAATTTCTAATCTGACAAGAAAAAGCAAAACCGCCCTTATCAAGTAGCCTTCAAAGCAAGATTTCCCCCTTTCATCTTAGCTTGATTCCCGTCGACTCTCCGTATTGGCGCAATTCATGGCTCAACGACTAGTGGATTTGGATAAATATCCCAGTCGTAGCCATCCTCAAACTCCGATAGAACCTCGCGAGGTTTAATCAATCGCACGTTGAAACCCGACAATTCCCGTAATCTTTTGTTTTTGCGCCAATAATTCCGACAGATTTGGATGACCTTTGCGAGTTTAGCCTTTTTCAGTTTCAGTCCTTTGACTCGGCCGAACAGCGCCCAGCAATGGGCCCAGATCCTTGTTGGACTCTGTTAATGCCCGTCGAACGGTACTTGATATCGGACTCCTTGATGGCTGTGCTAGCTAGAGAATCTGGGAAGAACTGATCCGAAGTTTCCTGCTGGGAACTTACTGGCTCGACAGAGGCATGACCATGGCCGAGGGAAATCGCTCAAGTATGCCTGCTCTATCTCGTGAGATGGTACCGTCACGTGGTTCAGTGTGGATTTCCAAATCTTCTTCCATTGACTTTGTTTGAGTAACTCATCATATTCCTCGTTCCTTGCATCTGCCCAGAATCAAAGGTGGGTGGGATTTCCATTCCACGTTGGCGGTAGATCCATTGACACCCTTATCACTAACATGGGGGGGTGCGGAAGTACCATGTTGACACTCCAGTGAAGGGTATGAAATAGAAGTCTAATAGTGTCTTGCTTATAAAACGATGTCATAGTGTATCCTTGATTCACACAGGTTCTTGATAACCTGGAGATACGTAGGAAGGCGGATTTTCTCGATAATTCGTTGTTCCATTCTCACTACATGTACACTAGGAGGTCAAATTTTTTCACCACCATTTTATCTAACAAGATCATGCCTTTTCGTCACGCGACTTATACCGTATGACAATCCGATCGTAGCTTAGTATCGAGGTGCCTTAGTTCCTGTTCCATATATAGTGGGCAAAATATGGGTACAGGTTTGAAACTGGGGGTATACGTATTGATGTAAGGGCCAGTTAGCTTACGATTATTTCAGAATAAAACAATTGTAACCTTCGATAATATCGAACACGAAAATTCTCCCATTTTGCTATCTTGAAATAAGTTGTATATTTTCACACAAGAACAGGTTCAGAGCTCAGACGCTTAAGTTCTGCTGATGTCTTTTGAGAAGCGCGGCAACCTCCCGATGACCTCTCATCGTGGCTGCTCGCAGGGGCGTTTTGTAAACACCAGCACGAATGGTGCTGTCAGCACCTCTATCGAGTAGAAGCTGCGTTATTTCCACAAATCCGAACGCGGCGGCTGCATGCAAAGCAGTGCCATGTACCCTTCCACGACCATTAGGGTCGGCGCCATTGTCTAGTAGCACCTTTGCAATGTCACATTGCCCTTTTTCAACGGCAGCCATCAGAGCTGTGCCAAGCTCGTGTTCCGCGTTTACGTTGGCGCCGCTATCGAGCAACATTTGCACTATTTGCTGATTCCCGTTCATCGAAGCCGCTCTCAGTGCGTTTCCATAGGGTCCTGCTTGTCGGTTGACGTCCGCACCATGGTTGAGCAAGATTAGCACGATATCTTCCTGGCCCTGGAATGCCGCTAATTGCAATGCGGTTTCAGCCTCATCCCCTTGAGAATTGGGCTCAGCGCCCGTCTCAAGCAGGAAATTTACTAGTTTCCAGTGGCCTCCCTTAGCAGCGGTTTCCAATGGACTGCCGTAGAGCTCACTCTCGGCATTGATATCTGCCTTGTTATTGAGAAGGATCTTTGCGACTTCCAGTTGGCCCTCGTCACACGCTGCGACCAGGGCGCTTCCATACCATGCACACGGGGCGTCAACGTCAGCACCCCATTCAACAAGGAGTCTGACAATAGCTTCTTGGCCATACTGGGCAGCAAATGAAAGCTCGGTAAATCCTTTCTTGTCGGATATGTTTGGATCTGCCCCGTGGGAAAGGAGTAACTGGCCGACATTCAGATGACCTCCTGAAATAGCCCATTTCAATGCTGTGTAGCCAGCACTATAACAGAGGTCCACGGAGTATTGATTCTGAAGAAAGTAAGCTACCGCTTCTTGGATCCCGAAGTATGCGGCGAGGTGGAACCCAGTCATTGTTTTTGAATAACTTTGGCTCCAATCTTTCCGGACTGGGTCCTTGGTAACCATGAGTGCTTGTTCTGAAGCTCCGACCTTTTGCTGGTCTTTCAGAAACTCTATCACATCGGGATCCAAATCTTTGATTGCTCTCACATGGTCTCCCCAATAGCATGCCGCATAAGAGTAGAATGGATGTGAATGTAGACGCTCCTCCATCGCTGTATCACTTTCGCAAACTCCAGATCCAAATGTCTCAAATGAGATATAAGCCACACATAGCGTACTAATGTCATTTTCAGCAGATGAAAAGAAGGCTTCCTGTTTCCGCTCAAGGTATTCTTTCGTAGTATAATGGACCAGTCGAATTACCCCGGTTTCGTTTTCTGTGGTGACCAGACCAGCACACACAGCAAGGATATCTTCGATCTCCGGCATGTTCTCCTCATCAAGGCTAGATTGGCCGTCCTCTATTGCAAGTGCATGCTGGAGCTCCAATGAAGTGAGCGGTCTTCTTGCGCATATGAGCCAAGAGAGGGTTTGTATGGCCAAGTCAGTTTGCTCTCTCATTTGCCCTTGAATTCGGGTCATCGCGTTGTCATAAGCCTTGTCGTATGCATAGTCATGAGACCCATTCGAGAGCTCTTTCAGAGCGGCTCTAGTAGATTTGGCTGACCTCCTGCCGATCAATGACTCGAAATAAAGCTGTGCAAGAAGGAACCTAAGTAAATAAGCAATCTAGGTCTTTGGTGAGGAATTGATCTTATAAAGAAGACTCACATTCCCTGTACATGGCGTGAGATTACGGTCATAATCTCCTCTTGCAATGCAGTATTTCGACTCACAAATCCCGGGAGTCGGTACATATTGCCGTCAAGATATCGTCGAACGTCATCCTCATGAGCCCGTATCTCTAGAACGCTGCCTGCTTGGAACAAATCATTTATCTCCGTGGGCCTTGATGTGGCAAAGACATTTGCTCCAACACTGGCATGAATTTTCATCATCTCGCCTAAAAGTCTAGTACGGCAAGTGGACTCGCACTCATCGAGGGCATCGACGACAATAAACACATCCGAATACATGGAAGCGACTGATTGCAGAGCTTTCGATATTTCATTAAATCGCGGACGCGTCGATGTAGCTTTGTAGCGCGTGTAAAGGTCCTTGACTGCATCTGGAACAGATGTTCTCTTCTGGCTTAATTGCTTTAGCAAACTTGAAAGCAAGTCTTGAAGCTTTTGTTCATCTTGGCGATTAAAGTTGCAATAAATGTAGGCTATGCCGACATTTGGCTTATTCTCAAAGCGCGTAATCAAATCGTCGACAAGGATAGCAGAACAGATGGTCTTTCCAGCACCTGGAATTCCTGGACAAAACAAGGTGGCATTGGGTGTGCGAAGCCAATGCTTATATTCGTCGGAATCGAGAAGCCATTCTCCAGTTCCTTCTTGCCGCCTAGCGAGAAGATCGCTCTGCTGCAGAGTATAATCAGCGGCAGACAGCCAGTCGAGAATGCAAGACTGTTCATTGCTTTCCTGTCGCTGGTTGAGATGCTCCAGTGTTTGTTTTGTCGCCGCCATGGTTTGACTATGGATGTTAGATGTCGGTCATGCTCAGATGTGCCAGGTGCGCCTAAGTCGCAGGTGGGGTAGAAGGAGGAAGTATATATACCTTGATATAGCATTCAAAAATGACTGGAGCAATGTCACATTAGATAATAACCGATCTCGAAGCTCGCCTATGTCTTTTGGCTCCCAGGAAATTCTCTTCCAAATACTTCTAGCCTTCTTGTGAATGGATGTACCACAGTATTCAACGGCTTTATATTTCCCGATGGCATCTTGAAGCTCGTTCAACAGGGTCCCACAGCTGTGACTGATTTCACTTAGTTGTTTGCGTTGGTGATCATCGATATCGTATTCCGGCAGTTGAACATCGACGTCTTGGAGGATAATCGTCAGCCCTCTGACCCTATGCTGACGAAAAGAAATCAGTTCCTGGCCAATGACCTATGTGTACAATATACACGCACTCTCTCGAGATACTGTTGAACTGGCTTGGGGCACCAACAAAGTCTCTTCGGAGCTTATTGGCCAAAGTGATAACGGAAACGAAGTCCCCCAAGCTCAATCCGAAACTCATCGTGGGATGTTAATCGAGTCCCGATGTAATATTGCCTGGGGGAAGTACGTGAGAAGTGTTGGATTTCAAATATGTCAGAGTTGTCATTCCTCTACAGGGATCCAATATTCTGACGGCTTAGCGCCTTTTAGGTATGTACATCTGTCTGGCCTTCGGGCTTTTGGATCGATTGGCTATTAGATATCCTCTTCAAGGTGCTTCTTGCATTAGCGTGTGAGTTGTCAATGCACTTCGTTTACGTGGTGGATGGGTCCTGTATACCTGCCAATAGCAGCGATGTGGTGCTCCGTAGTGGGTGGTTGATTGCAATGAGGCAGCGGCGCTTAAACACAATCTTGGAATCTCGTTTCAAGTATTTTTTAGGCCCCGCCAAAATGTTTTGCTTTTTCCTTTCTTCTTTTTTTTTAAAGAAAGATATATATGCAGTAGCGGTAACGTGCGATCGAATGTTTGCTTCCTGATCCGATCTGAGGTTTTTTGACTCGTGTAAAAGATCCAAAGCATCGAACTGCTTAAACCTGAGAGAGAATGCAAAGATCTTATCCCTATTACTCGTTGTAGTAGTCAAGAACTTCATAGATCTGAGAGTGTAGAGCGAAGGCAGGACAAATGTGCTGATATATTTGGAACAAGTCCTGGTATGTCCTAGCAAGGAGTGAGAGCGCAAATCAGATTAATGCCTGTAAATTCAGGCATATTCAAGCACAAATGCTGACCTCGGGATGAAGTGATATCATTGGCCGCCCCCCCCTTCGATATCCGATAACGCCAGGGAACCCCCGCAATCGCGGAAGCGTCGTTTATTCTTGCGCGTACGGTTTCCATGCTAACAGGAATTTAATCTATTTTCATGTCTTCCCAGGGAATATGGACCAGAGCCCTTCCAATGCTCAACCCGTACAGGGTCCTCCCATCCCTGGCAGCTCGTGTGCTCCGCCATTGAGAGGAGCTTTAGCTGGAGGTCGCCAGATCACCCGAAACCGCGCGAGCTACAGCTGTCACATGTGTCGACGTCGGAAGGTCAAATGCGACAAGGTAGATGGATCTAACTGCCACCAACACCAAAGCCCCTGTTCGAAGCTAACATTTATCTCCTTCCAGATACATCCGATTTGTGGAAACTGCGTGAAGAACAAGACCCAGTGTGTATATGATGTGTCATCCCAAAAAGATGACGATGGGCCCGATAGCTCCCAAAAGGCCCATGGCGCTAAACGAAGGAGAGGAATGCCCCGGACATTGGAGGAGGATGTTAACGAGCTCCAGTCACTTTATGGACACTTGAAGCGGGCAGAGTCGACAGGCGAAAAGCCCGACCCAAGCGCCATTGAAGCGCGACTCGACAAGCTTATGTCAATGATTGAGCGACTTGGGGGGAGCGGTCAAACACACGAGAACGTGGGGATGCAGACGGCCCGGGGTGCGAAGGTGGAACCCACGCAGTTGGATGACGCACGGCCGAGCAATGCTCTGAACGGAAATAGAACGTCAAGATCTACCAGCCCACATCGCACTGCTGCAGACTCGAGCAGTGATGAATTTCCGATTCCATCCGGTCAGGCCACCGATCTGATAGACCCGGTTGGCAGTTTGAACTTAGGCCATTTGAGCCTAGAGGACGGTGGAAGGTCAAGGTCGGTCAAAATTGATTCATTTGAAAATACAAATCTCTTTTCTAACTCTAAATAGATATGTTGGCACCACGTATTGGGCCTATATCTCTGGCGAAGTATGCTGTCCACTAGACTTCCCTACTAGTAGGCAGTTTTTACTAACTCGCATCTAGATCAATGAGCTTAATCAATTGCTGAGAGATCAAAATAGCTCACATGATCACTCCACACCTGAAAATAATAATGAAGCCATAACAGATTCGCAGGCCGATGGTCGACAGTCATGGAGAGAATCAATGGGCAGCTCGACGCCTTTAATCACGCCCAGGTCTCGTTCCTTCCAACAATCTATAATCTTCCCTTCGGGTGACTCTCCCTTGCTCAATGAAAAGGTGGTAGAACCAAAAATGCTTGATCACATTCCAACGAGACGGCAGAGCCATATTCTTTACAAAGGATTCATTTCCGGTGTACACGCCATCAGTCCTGTCATTCACCCTCCAACTATCCTCAAGCTCTACAATTCCTTCTGGGATTGGTATGACTGCAGCAGCTATTCGGGGGAGTCATGCCCGAATCCATCATTCATCCCACTGTTGTACGCGATATGGTATGGCGGCTCAGTGACGATTTCGATCCGAGCAATCAAAGCTGAATTCAATGTGTCCTCGCGGGCGGCGCTTTCGACAATATATACCGAAGAAGTTAGCAGATGGCTTACGAAGATCAAATTCCCGCGCAGCCCTTCACTTCAAGGCCTCGCTGCTTATCTTATCGTACAGACAATTGTGACGAAGGAGGAAGAGCCTTTGACGAGTAGCCTCTTTGTTAGTCTCGCGATGAGGGTTGCGCAAACAATGGGCTTGCATCGGGACCCAGCTAAGTTTGGCATAGAGCCATGTGAAGCTGAGTACCGCCGCCGTTTATGGTGGCATATAATGCACATGGATGGTGTTGTTGCGATGTCAAGCGGTCTGCCTCCACTTGTCAACGATGAGAATTATTGGGATGTCTGCGAGACGAGCGAAATTAAAGACACGATGCTAGGTAGCCCTGCTGCAGAGTCCTACATGGAACAGGTCGCTTCGGGGGAGCGGCTACCCGATAATCCAGATGACCCCACCATTTGCGGCGGACCATCAATTGTCAACGTCTACTACCTGACCGCAAGGGGAAAGTACACCATGGCTCGTGGGTACCCTTTATCGCTTCAAAGTCCACCCGCTAATCTTTACCAGGCGCTGTCCGCCGAATATTGAAAATCCAGCTTGGAACAAAGCCCCTCACTAGGCAGGACATGGAGGAGCTCCGGTCAATACTCCTTGACTTGCAGCTGAAACTGAATTCCATCATCGACAGGATTCCAGAGGGGAAGGATATCGATAACCTGTCAACGTCAGACCGAGCTTCTTCTATGTCCAAATCCCCCGATGGCTGCTCTTCCGACACAGAGCTTCCAGGCGAAGGTCCCACCGGATGCCCAGAACAGTATCACTCACCGGTTCTTGTTTGCTTCCATAAATGGGCGAAGATCATTCTTTCGTTGTATATTGACAAAGTGCGCTTTCTCAATCTTTGCTGGTTTCGTACCCAACTGACCTTCCCCTAGGCCTTCTGTGTGGCCTACCAGCCTTTTCTGAAGAACGCTCGCAGCCGGATTTGGCCAGCAGCACGCCAGAGGTTTGCACATGCCATCAGAAAATGAGTCTATGTGCTGATATTGATAGTGCACTTCGTCATTGCCATGGTTTCATGGATAAATTCATCCAACTCGCAACGGATCCCGATTTCCAGCCCTTTCATTGGAGCTGGCCTGGGTAAGCCTTTCCGCTAGTACGGTGGCAAGAATCATAGGCAGCTAATATTTCTTTTTAGCAATCATCAACCGATGCATGCTACTATGTATGACTCCATCATCAGGTGTTGGTAACCACGCTAATGAGATACAGGATCATGCTTATTGACCTATATGAGCGACCTTACAGCCCTGAAGCATCCAGGTCGCGTGCATTCATCGATCGCATACTCGCACTTTCTGGCCCAGATGGAGGCGTCGTAGGTGGTGAAGACGGTGTCTCAACACAACGGCCATTAAAGGACGGTGGTCGTGAAGCCTGGGATATGATCCGCCGCCTTCGCCAGAAGGCTTGGCAAAAGGCTGGTCTCAATCCGCGAATGCTCTGGACCGAAAAAGATCAGATCCAGGCTGGGGTCGCTTCGCCAGTTGACACTCGCGGAAATTATGACTTTCCTTACTCAGGTCCCTCTCAGGCCGGGTCTCCAGGTTCAGCATCGGCCAACCATCCCTCAACACACAGACCCCAACCCAGCGATTTCGTCAGAACATTCTACAACCTCACACGCTCCCACACGTTCTCGAATCCTGTTACCCCGGATGGTACTGAAAGTCCCCTACGATACCAATCCCAACCACAGGACAAACCCTTCATTCCAATTTCACATTCCCAATTCCATCCTAACCCCGCCGATAATTCCATACCTCCCCGTATTGGCGCCTCCTCGCCCAAAACGGACTCCTTGTTTGGTGCACCTCCACCGACACAATCTCCTGCATCCACCGCTCCCGCCCCACATGTTCAGCATTCAGATCCTGATATTGCTGCTTCTGGTGGCATGTCCTTTGTGGACCCTGCGTCTCCTAATGTTTTACCCATGGGAGTTCCTACACCGCCATCGATGGTCGATCCCAACCTCAAGTTCGACTGGGAACAGTGGGATGCTGTGTTCGGGCAACATCTTCCTGTCGCGGATGATCTGATGGAATTGGATCCCGTTTCGGGTCTTGATTTCACCCATGTTGGAACTGCCTCAACATTTAATGGCAATGGCCCCATCGACATGCCTAATTCATATGCCAACGGTCTTGCCCTTCGAGACTCGTCTCCAGAAGGGAGTTTTCCGTCTTGGAATGGGAATAGTGGGGATGATTGGCCGGGATATACTTAGTATCCATTATGTACATCCTTAATATAAAGACAAAGACACGACTATGAGCGATAAAGAATTTAAAAGAATCTATACATCCACGCAATGATTGGTGTCGCGCTCATTTATGACAAGAGAATATTCTTTCGGGGGTCCATCCCAACACACAGTCTTCTCTCAAGCCAAGTGTTACTGTCTATGACTGGATCAATGACAATGAAGACAGGCTACATCGTACAAGCCAAAAAAATAAGACATGACAGATAATTTCATGAAGCGTAACTCTTGGGGATCCGATAGATCACTAACTCGGGGTACAAAAATTGCAAAAGCGGTTTATTAGAACAGACAGGCCCGGGGAAGGGGAATAAGTAGCCGCCGCGTCTGAACTGCAACTCGCAATTCTCCCAGCAAGACGTATTTGTTCGTGTAGGGTGCATATGTTTTAACTATCGCCTTCTTTGGAATGACAAAAGCTGCTTAGACCTTCACCTCCTTGAGACCATCAGCCCAGACGGTAGCGTAGGGGGTGACACCATCCTCGCGGAAGTCAATCAGGACGTGCCTAGAAACAGTCAGTTTAATATTTCAAGAGAGAGTGATAATATGGGGACATACATGGCTTCACCGTCCGTGGACTGGCCCATGAGAACATCGTAGTTGTCCCAGTTGGCAAGGATCTTCTTCATAGCGCCGGCGGCCTTCTTCTTCCATGCGTCCTCAGCCGCGGTAGGATCGTCGGCCTTGGCGAACTTGGACGCGGCATTCTTGTGGAGCTTCTTAAGGTAAGCTGCATTGAAGGAAAATGTCAGTAATTTGCGTGGACTAAGATGTGAGATAACTAAGGCAAGCATACGCTTCAGGTGAGCTTTGTAATCCTCCTTGGAGGGCTTTGCGCCCTCCTCAGCCTTGAGCCAGACCAGACGGAACTGGTCCTCGATATCGTGGACCATGGTGGCCTCACCCTCGCCACCTTCCTCCTCAGCCTCCTCAGCGGAGGGGTTGGCACCCTCGAGCTGGAAGTCCTCGTTGGCACGCTTCAGGTACTTGCGGCAGTCACACTCCCAAAGGATATCGAACTCCTTGTTGGGGACAAGGTTGAAGGTATCGGCGACGATCTCGTCACCGGACACGATGTCCTAGTGGGGTTTGTCAGTTGAAATTCACCTGCAGACGCAGGGAGGCAAATCCAAGGATCTGATATTGACAAACATACAGTGTAGATAATCATTTTGGCGGAATTATATGTTTAAGAAGACGAATAGGTAAGAAAGTAAAGGGGCACGGGAAGGAAGAAAAACACTTTCAAGGTGGGGGGCGAGGTTTTTTTTTTTTTAAAAAAAAAGAAAAATAGAGCGGGGGATTGTGTTTGCTCGGTTTGCACTAATTTGGTTTGTACCGAAGGCGTACCCAGGGAATCTGGGCCACCGCCAC